AATCTTCAAAGTATGCGAACAATGTTACGCTCGCTGAACGCCGACCCTATCAGTATGTAGAGTCGAGCAGTAAAGTGCTGCTTTAAAGAAAAAAAAAACTACTGTCACGTGTACACATTATGAAAATGACGCGTAGAAAATAATTTTCCTGCAATTTGAAATTTAACCTTTAGCGGTCGGAGCCATTTCAACTCGAAATTCGAAATACTTTTTCCAACCTATAGCATTTCTATTTTATAGAACCCAGTGCATCTTATACGTATGAAATTGAATTTTTTGACGCATGCAATAACTACACATTTTACAGTTTTTCTAATACAAACAAATTTGATGATGTTAGAATTACTTCGAAACATGATAATAACAATTTTCAATGGCGCCTTCCAGTCGCCACTCGAGTTCAAAGGGTTAAATAATAAACAAATACTAAATGAATTTAAATAATTTTCCATGCATCTTTCAAATGTATAATAATTAGACCGCGAACTTTTCTGGGTAATAAATATTGTCTAAATCAGTTGCAAGAAATTGAAATTAGATACGTACGCTGTTATTCCATAATTTCGCCGAGTTGAATTCCTCTAACGGTTTCGCGGCTTTGTATCTCACCTGTTCGGTTTTGTCTTAAATGCATAAGATCCGCGATCTAATAATACTACACAATTTCGCCGGAATTTACTATTTTTCAAGTATACATTAGGGCGGCCCGGAACTACCCAAGGTTGGCGTTCTACGTCCTAGCGGAAGATCGGCCTTCCGAGGGTCAAATACTAAATCGAGGAAGAATTACCCGGCGGAGAACCGAAGATGGATGGGTAGACCGGAGATTTGCGGAGAAATAAATTGTTCGCTCGAAGAGATGCGGAAAATTCCCGGTGAGCCGAGTTGTGTCTCCGGCTTCCTCTCGATCTTAGGCGTCTTTGCGTCGACGCGTCCGGCGATCCCGTCGATCGATCGTATCGCGGCCCGATGGATCGTGGAAGTGCGTCGGACTCGATAATGCCTTGTCCACTTAGCGATTCAACCAATAAATTAAATATCAGCGATGCGGCGGCGTTGCAGGATGCAGGCCGCGCGTTATCGTCGGTTGGCAAGCGGTGCTAGCAGCCGAGGTGGTACACGTACGCAGATTGGTACGCATCTCGCATTCTCAATGACCGCCATTAGCTGTAATTATCCGAGAGGAGAAGAAAAAAGGCTCGCGGAGGCAACGCGAGCACGCGTGGGTGTTCCAGTCTTACAATCGGTCCGTGCGTACACGCTTCTTCGTCCTCGTCTTCGTCTTGGTCTCCCTCTTCCTTATCCGTCTCCGTTGCTCTCCTCCGCCTCCTCTCCCCTCGCCCCCTGCGTCCACCTCTTCTGCTCCACGGCAGCATCGAGCATGACCGGGCTCGGGCTCGGGCTCGGGTACGCTTGCTCTCCGTTAATTTATTTAAATTACCGGAGTACCAAGTGGCATGTGGTACCAAACGATTCGAGCCGGTATTGTCGGTGAGCTCTCTTGTTATTTATCGGCGCGAAATTCCGTTTCAGGGATTTTCGTGGCCGGCTTGACCGGCGAGACCTGTACCACCGTCCCCTTCCCGCCGTTTCTCCCCCGTTCCGCAGCACAGCATTGCACGGCACACGGCACAAGGTGCGTGGTTCTGCGGTGCAAACGAGGCACCGATAACGGCGGCAGCGGAAACTTCGGTGTCTCGACCACGGTAGTCGCGTCGAGCCTTTCTTCTTTCCTTCCAGCAAATAATTCTTTCCTTCGACACCGCCAAGAGAGAACCGTAAATTTCTTTTTCGATCTGGATTCACCAGCAGGTATTCCCATTCCGAGGGAACTGTTGTCTTGAAACATAGTCAAACACGAATACGGAGTTTAAAAGAAAAACATCTGACTCGCAAAAACCATTCTTTGTCTTAAAAGTTGCTCGATGTCGATGGTTCGTGTAAATAGAACCATGGAACATTCATTCCTTTATTTAGTGTTTATTTCTTTATTTATCTTTATTTTATTATTGAATATTCACAGGAAATTACCCACTAGTTTGAAAAATTACTATAATATTATTATAGCGTGGTGGACGATTGAAAAAATCGATGGACGAGTGCACGCTATTTAGAACAGTGAAAACACGATCGAGCCTATCTATGATATCCATAAGTTGTTCTATGTTTCTCATGAGGTAAGTAATACGTCTTAAATTTTGTTTAAAAGAGTGTGGCGAACGATTGAAAAAAAAACACGATTGTGCCTAGTATGATATCTATACTGCGGATTTCATGCATTAATAGTAAAATTGAGTAGATAAAATGCAACAACAATAAAAACATTCGAAGAATGAAAAAAATGCTGTTGTATTAATTTTAAGTCGTTGAAATGATTGAGAGAAAAGAAATCGATGTCTATTTAGCTCCTGCATCTTGCAGTAAGTGCAATCTTTATTTTGCATAAAAATCCGCAATCTAATGATATCCATAAGTTGTTCAATGTTTCTGAATACGGGAAGATTCTCTGAATCCGAGATGAAATATTGGAGCATCCCGATGAAACTTCTCCGATGTTGCTGGAGAATCAAGGAGTGCGTTAAGGACTTCATACGCAAAGATAATATCACATCTTTTCCTGTTCCGCTCGAGTGTGGTTAAACTCAGAAAGGCGAGCATAGGGTTATAGTCGTGATCCGATATCAGCATGGGCTGATCGACGTGCCAAGATGCTATACGTTAGAATTTCTGCTGCACCATTTCTAACGCAGTGATGTA